CGGCGGCGACGGCCATGGCGGCGGCGGCATCATCTCAGGTGAGCGATTTGAGAGATCGCAGTAGCCAGGCTGCTAACAGCACTGCTCACTCGCATCCAAACATGGCGGGCTACTCCGTCGACCACTACCACACCTTCTCCTCTTCCTCCTCCTACAGACAGTGAACAGACCAGAGCAGACCAGACAGCCAAATTCCTTTATTTCAGTGTGTCGTTCAGTGTCCCTTTTTCTCCCTTTTTACCTTCCTCCCTTTCTCTCTTTCTCTTCAACTGTCCGTTAGCACATTCTTTAAGTTTGCACACTCTCTCCCCTTTCCTATTCTTCTTTTTGCTCCCACTTCTTTTTGAGAACCTTTTACCACTCTATTTTTAGTCACCTTTGCAAATAAATAAGTGTTTGTGTCACCTTCACTTTCACCACCATCACCACCAGTCCACTCGAGCTACCTTTCTTCTTCTCTTCTTCTTCTTTTCTATGCTATGCGATCACTGCTGCACTACTCTAGACGTACTATATCACACTTTACACACACAAACATGCAAAACTGCCTGCTGAAAAACTGAATTGATTAGGGAAAAGCTACGTTAGCGATTGAATGAATTCCAGTATTGTTGACAAAAGCTACTGCGACAGGATGAAGGCGCGCGTAGAAGCAAATGCGATGACGCTGATGGCCAATGGCTGATGGCAGATGATGGTCATGATGATGATGATGATGACCAGACAGTCATTCGGCGAGTAGTGCAAATAGGGTTGACAGGAAAAGGCACATGCGAACACCATCACCGCCATCACCACCACTGACACTACTACACACACAAACTCTGACCAAATTCACCAGATACACTTGCAGTGCACTGTTTCTGTGTTCGTNGTATTGTTGACAAAAGCTACTGCGACAGGATGAAGGCGCGCGTAGAAACGAATGCGATGACGCTGATGGCCAATGGCTGATGGCAGATGATGGTCATGATGATGATGATGATGATGACCAGACAGTCATTCGGCGAGTAGTGCAAATAGGGTTGACAGGAAAAGGCACATGCAAACACCATCACCGCCATCACCACCACTGACACTACTACACACACAAACTCTGACCAAATTCACCAGATACATTTGCAGTGCACTGTTTCTGTGTTCGCTTGGCAATATTAATAATAACCCAACCACACTGGCACCCAACTACCACTAACCAACTTTTCCTCCTTCTTTCCAAACTGACTGTGAATGTGTCCCCACTCTTTCTCTCTTTCCTCTTCTGTCCCTGTACGATGACGATGACGATGATGATGATGATGATAATGCCCGACTGATATATTAATAATAAATGTTTGTCTCTGTAGAAAGTACCATTTGAAGAGATCGAAAGTTTTTATAGCACTGAGAAGGACCGAGATGTGCCCGGCAGGGAGCACCGACTGCACCAGAATCAACAGCAACAGCGGCAGCAGCAGCAGCGGCAGCAGCAGCAGCAGCAGCAACTTGACTTTGAAGGCAGTGACGAGTTGACAGGCATCATCGGGCGAAGTGAGTCGCCCGAGGCGCCCACCGTCACCGCCGCCGCCGAGCACTTAGAGGTATTTATTCTTGCAACCACTACTAATCCACGGTGATGTGTGTGCTTGTGTGTGTGTTTGTGGTCCAGTTCAGTGGCAGTGCCCACTGTCTGGCCACCATCACAATCACCACCACCACTTCCCACCAGTCCGCATTCTATCTCTGTCTATGTTTGCTCGTGTCTCTCCTTTTGTCGGTTCATGTTGTCTCTGCTTCCTGCTTCCACTGCTTGCCACTGTTGCATTGTGTTGCCTTTTACTCTTACTCTTACTCTTTCTCTCTTTTTCCTCTCTGTTTATGCCTTATTCGTACTTCTCCTCGTCTTCGTAACCAAACACAAACACACTCTCAGTTCTTGCTGCCATGTTTGAATGCTTTTCTTTGCTAATCACTGAACATCCATTTTCCAGCTGATGCTCTCAGAAAGAATCTCTTCTCTTTCTTAAGTCCTGCTTATGCTTCTTTAGAATGCAATGTCCAATGTGGGCAGTGTACACACTGCCAACCTGATGCGCTAATCCGTTGTGGCACTTGTCCTTTTGTCTCTCTCCATTTCCCTCCCATGTCGCCTGTCACTGAGCTAGTCTATGATCACTAAAGAGCACTTCATTCCCCTTTCCCTTTTCCCCTACTTTACTAGCTTCTTCAAGGTCTTCCTGGCAGTCCGCCTGTGGAATCGGATCAGCAGCAGCAGCGGTCGGCCCCGCCATCACCACCGCCAGCACTACCGCTGTCACCACCGCCATCATTCAGAGAGAGCTGTGATGTTCAAGACAGTGCCAACGATGGTGGTAGTTTCCCGTCGTCTGATCTCAACGCTGATGATGATGATGATGATGCGGACTGTACTGGTGGCGGTGCCAACACCACCGATGCGTTGATATCACCAGTGTCGGTGCGCAACAGTAGCAGTACAGCCCAGACCAGCAGCACCAGTCCCACCACCATGGGCACTATTTATAGTGAGCCCGCGAGCTTTCCACCACCGCCATCATCTACTGGGCCACTGCCACTTCCAACTGCTCTGCCAACAACCGCCACATTTGTTGGTAGTAAGGGCCGAGCAGGCATCACCGCTGGCACTGCCTCTACCACATCAACGACAACTACTACCACTTCGCCCATCTCCACCACCACCACCACCAACTCCTCTTCGCCATCATCGAGTAGCACTGCCTCTACAGTTGGCCTGCCGGCAAACCCGGAGAACAGCGGCTCTCAGCAGCAGCCTCAGCAGCAGTCAGGCAGTAGTAGTGCTTCGGTTCTCTTACCTTTAGCACTCGAGAAGACGATCTACTTGCGGAAAAAGCACAGCAATTTAGGTACATACTTCTTACACTTCTTTCACACTTACACACTTATACATACTGTATGCGTGATAGTGCTCGCATAAGTGAGGCAGTCTGTTCGGGAGTGTTCGTGAACAGACAGAGGGGAAAATGAGCGAAACGGTTGTACACGCGGCTGCTTCTTTAACGTCTATTCAGATCGGATTTGAAGAACAAGCAGTGTCAGTTTGTCAGTGAAGGAGGCAAAGGTGTTGCCTTCTCCGTTGCCTGTGCTCTCTGCCCCCGTTGTCATGCTTGGATTATCATCACCGACATCATCATCATCAGAAACAGCAGCATTAGCAGAAGTAGCAGAGTTAGCATCATCTGTGTCACTGTCGATCACCCACATTTACCGCCGTCATTTGCAGCTGCTTCAGTGGCCTCCGCAGTAGGCGAGTGTCAGATCAAGTGTCGAATAGTGTTGTTGTTGTTGATGTCTGGGTGTGTGTTGCCTCGTTGGCATCCAAACTTTTCCCTCCAATTTCACACAGTGTGACACAGTCGTCAGCTTATCAGCTTTGCATTTTTCATTCACGGCTCTCACTCTCTCTCTCTATCTTTTTTCTTCATCTTCTGCTGTTCTAGGCATGGTGCTGGTGCTAGCTGACAATGGCGCCAATGGCTACGTTGTGAAGAGTCTCGATTCGAGCGGGCTCATCTTTCAGGACGGCCGAATCCTCTTGGGCGACTACATTGTCGCACTGAACGGCACCTCACTGCGCAACACCACCAAGGACCAGGTGTTTGCCTTGCTGCAACAGTGCCAGAACAGCGCCAATAATGACCTTATGTGAGTCACTGTAATACCAATTGTTACCCAGCTCATTCAGCTAATTACCTAATTTTATATTTGCAGCATAAAGTATATTCCTCAATCTGATGCACAACAGTTCAGAAAAGCAAACTCTATGCCTGACTCAAATCAAGACCAAACTTCGGCGATGTCCATCGTCACCAGTAAACAGTAAGTGCTGCTTGAGTTTTCAGCATTAACTAATCAGCGCTCCCTTTTCATAACCTCAGACAAAGCACCTCACTGAGTGATAACTTAAACCACAAAGCCTCTTCCTCCTCCACGACGACTGCCGTTGAGCCCAGCAAACCTGCTTCCAGCAAACAGTGCCTTGTCCCAGTGCCACAGTTGGCGGTAAACAACAGTAAACAACAACAACAAGAAAAGCGTGATAAGAGTGCTGAGAACAGCAGACTATCAGCTTCCTCTAGTGCCAGCAGTCTAATGAGGAGCAGTGACTCGCTGATTCCCGTCGCGTCTATCAACTCGGCCGCCGCTTTCAGGCGACACTGGGGCGAGGAGATTTCGGTAGAGTTGGTGAGGGCCGAGAACAAGGGTTTCGGTATCAGCATCATCGGCGGCAAGGACAACACCCTCAAGTCGACGCTGACGGGCATTCTCATCAAGAAGATCCTCCCTGACAGTCCGGCGCTGCGCTGCGGCCTCCTTAAGACCGGTGATCGGTTGTTGGAGGTGGGCGGCGTTGATCTGCGCGATGCCAGCCACGACGAAGCCGTCGAGGTGATCAAGAATGCCGTCAGTCCGGTGCGCTTTGTCGTGCAGAGTCATATTCCGCTGGTAAGTGCCAAGTGTGCCTTCTTTCCCTACTTCTTTCGCCTAAATTGCCAACTTTGCTAGCGTGAAACATTTCACTCTATCATTCATGACAATCTCTCGCCCTTTCCCTCTTTCTCTCTTCCCTTGCCCTCGCTAATCGAATTGCCCGCCAAACAGCAGAACAAGGAGCAGGCTTTTGCGAACGGTTGTTCAACTAAGCCCACTACCAGTTCCAGCACTGCCACCGCCACCATCGACAGCAGCAGCAGCAGCAACTACCTTTCCATATCACCACTGAACAAGAGTAAATCCCTGTCGGACACATCGTTGATTAATGAGGGCCTGCAGAAATCGTTTCTCTCCTACTCTGATCGGGCGAACCTGCCCGCCAGCGGCACTGAATCACACGATCGGGCCCTTTCGCCTAAGCAGCAGCAGCAGCAGCAGCAGCAGTCCTCCAGCAGTGCAAGCAAGCCTAGAAAGACCTTCACCAGCAGCACCAGCACGACCGCTGCTTCCTCCTCCACCAGCAACACCACCAGCACAACAACAGCCACGAACGCAGCCAGCAAGCAGAACAGCAATGAAGACGTCTCAGCCAGCTATCCCATTGTAAGTAATGTCACTTCCTTTTAATTCTTCCGACTCCCTTCTGCCTCGTCACCCAATCGACTATCTCTGTCCATTTATCAGTTCTGCCTCGTCTCACTGGAATCATTTTTCATCATTTTCTCTCCTCTGCCCCTCTCTCTTTCTCCCTCTTTCCCGTAGAATCTCATGACAAGTGCAGCGCATGTAAGGCTGACTCAGGCGGACATTGATGAAGCAACGCGCGAGGAGCTGGTCGAAGACGAATACGGCTACTCCCTCAGTAAGTGTTCCGTCCAGATCTGTTTCTTCCCTTATTGGCATTTATTAGATCTAAATTCAGCTCAGTCTTCTTTAGCAGTAATAATTCTCGTGTCAGTGTCAGTCTCCTTCCTAACTTTTCCCCATTGCAAATGCTGTTTGGATGGTCATGCCACAACATTGGCGACCACGTTTCCCTTTCACTTTCCAAAGCTTTCCTTTTCTGATTGATGGGTTCTCTGAACAGACAACATAGTGTGTGTGTACTATGCTGTACTGTGCGTACAGCAGACTGGAGGCCGATTAAACAAAGGCTTATCAAATATTTATTGAGCCATCTGAAGGGCGATAGTGTGCTCTGTACAGCAGCAGAATGTTGTCGTCTGTCGCAGCAACACTACTCAAATATAGCCATTCTCACGGGCTCGATACAGAATAGCACAGTAACTTGATCGTTAGATTGAATAGTACCGTATAGATTAATAATTGGCTCTATTTGCTGAAGTAATTAATTTTTTCCACTTATGCAAATTGTCTGCCTGCAAACTACTACAAGGGGCTCATCTGCCGCCACAACTGCTGCTGCTGCTGTGGCTGCAGAAAAAAACAACTTCTGCTCCTCTCTCTCGATTCTCGGATCTCATTTTCAGTGACTGAGAGACTGAGCGAGTGACGAAATTGCTCTGCCACTCGCTGTGTTTGGCTGGCTGAACAACGGCAGCAGCAGCAGCAGCAGTAGAATCCACGCTTTGATTGGCCTACTCTGTCTGGTGCATTCTCTTTCCCTCCCTTCTTCTTCTGCTTGAATTGCAGCTGGTAACTCTGTGTCTGTGTCTGTGCAGCAGATTCAGTAATGCGGGCCAGTAGTCACAGTGCCGGCAGCAGCAGCAACACCAGCACCAGCAGGAGCCATCGTCTTACATAAACGCGCAAATTGAGCTCAATGCCAGCTGGAGAAGTGAAGTAGTAAGCCGCTGCTGTTGGCACTGTTTCCTCCTTTTTTGTTGATGTTGCTATATATGCTGGAGAAAACTTGAAAAGAGCAAAGGTGATCTACCGACCTCGATTCGCGCCTCGTTACGGAGGCAACAGCAACGACAACAGCAGCGGCAGTGGCAGCCCTCATTCATTTATCATCATTGTCGTAGTAGATTCCCACTCTACTACTGATTTCGTTCCCCTCTTTTTTAGTTCTTACGGTCTACTTAAGCGGTTCTCCTTTTTCCCCCTCCTTTTAGCAAACCGCATTTTGCGTATTCTTTGCCCGCCAATTTCGTCGCCAATTCAGCGGTGGTGGCGGCGGCGGTTCTCCACTGGTCCGTGACGAATTGGAAGCATTGGAAGATAGTCAGCAGCCAGTCAGTCGGGAGTAGTCTCTCGAAGAAGAAATGATGGCAAGCGCGACGGATGCGTTTAGGTCTTCTTTATTGCCAATCGATTCACTGATGCAGTGTTCGCTTTGTCGAATTTCCTCTGCCTCCTCTTCCTTTTTCACTCCTTCACACAGCAAATTGCTAGCAATTCTTAGCCTTTGTTTTCAGCATCTTTGCTGCTTCATTTCACTGGCTTCATTTCTCTGCGCCTTACACCCAGCTTTTTTCTTGCTTTGACGCTGCAGCCTTCTTCTTCTTCCTTAAAGACAGCCATGGCTGCATCTTCTGCTTCCCTCCCGGGACTGGCCATTGTTTGCCCCGGTCTCAGCTGGCTTCGGCGACAGTTCGTCTGCCGTCTCAGTGAAGGCGAAAGTGCTATTCCTTGCACCCAAATGGAACATACTAGTTTAGAGCAGGGCACACTGAAACTTAAGATGACTGTGTCGGTACGATGATGATGTTGGTGCTGAGACCCACACAGTACCAGTGCTTTTTAAAGAGGTCCCCTCTTCTTTTCTTTTTCTTTTTTCTTCTTGGGTTTCGCCTGCCCTTTTTCGTTTTGAGCAGCCATTAGCCATTAGACATTAGACAGCTCTAATGGCCGCTTGCTGTCCTGCTGTCCTGACAGTTGACGTCGGGCACGCGTTGCCACTGGCTGCACTTTTTTCCCGCTTTCAACAAACTTTGGCACTTTACGCGCACACACATTGTCGTTTTTCGACCCGAGAATTAGAGAAAAAAAAGTGAAGCCAGTCTCAGAAAGAGAAAGAGAAGGAAAGTGAGTGATTGTTTATGAGCGGACGGTGTTGGAGCCTTGTCACTAACACATTTATCACTGGGTAAGCCTCGTCACGTTCGCATTAGGTGCCACACATACACCATATACTCATTGCACCCGGCAAGCTGAACGCACTGCCTAAAGTTTGTGCGACAGTGTTTCTAGTGCTTCGGCAATGACGGAGTGCTCTTTCTTTTGGAACTGGTGTGGCGCCCGAAGACCAGCATTGGTCGCAGCAGCAGTGCTCAAGACAACACACTGCTGGTGGTGGTGGGCAGACAACAACAACAACAACACAGCGAGTACAAGCGAGAAAAAGGAAGACACAACAACAAGCATCTTAGAAGCAGAATCGCCACCACCACCACCACCACCTTTACCAGTGTCAGACCAGTGGTCTGTCGCATGAGAAAATATCACTGCCGTTTTTTCCCTCTTCTGTACACATTGATCAGTTTGTCTGTGTTGGTCTGTGTGTGTATTGGCTAGCAGTGGCTGCAGCAGTGTAGTTAGTGTACCAGTCTATATACCCAACAACCGGACAGCAATTTCAGGAGCAGTGCTTCTCAACCGGACTGACTTCCAGGCGACTCCACTGAATGTATAGCTTCGGTATAGCTCCACTGCTGAGCCGTTTCCTATTCATTTCGATAATGTCGCCACTGCTGACCTCATGGCTGACTGAGCAGTTGAGAGTCGCCGAAGAGATGACGGCGGCGACTGTTCTCTCTCTCTCACTTTCATTTACAGTGTATCTTCAAGCAGCAGCGAGAGTACTTTGTCCAAGTAGTTGTGTCTCTCTGTGTACGGTGGTCTATAGTAGTCGGCAGCGAGTTAGCAATTCAACTTGCTCGTTATTCATTCATTGATTCACGCTGCGTGTGTGTGTGTCTTTTATTCTACTACTGCTCCAGAGCAGCATGCAGTTCTTTCTGCAAACAAACGTTATCCTCCCCCTCTCTCACTCTCACTCTCGTGTTTGTTGGCTGTAAAATGTATAGCGGAAGATGAGAGAGAAAGAAAACGAGAAAGCGACCAGACAGAAGCCGTATCAAGTTGAGACAGTGAACCAATTCAAAGTGAACCGTCGGCCAGTGCAGACCAGAGCGGCAGCAGCCGTCTTCGACTATACTCTTTCTCTTTCATTCACTCTCTTGCGCTCTCTTAGGAGAAAGTCCCTGCTCTAGTGCATGCGACTTCTGTCAGAGCTGACACAATGTGACTGCCTGTGAATGCCTGCCAGCCTGTCTGCGCTGCTTCTGTTGTTGTCGTACAAGACACAGCAGTTCTGTCAACAACACCCGAAGACAAGGGAAAAGGAACAAAGGGAAAAACACACACACACTCACTCACCGACGGAACCACAAATTGGCCCACAAACTGCTCTGACCACTGCCATCGCCGCATGGTAATGCTCCTTCTCCTTCTCCTTCTTCCTCCTCCTTGGTCCTGCTGACACACTCTCACACTCACCCACACTACCTGCCGCCGTCCTGCCGCTGTCCTCCATGGCCGCCTGTCTTCACTTCAGCGAACCGACAGTTAGTTAGACAGTGCCCAGTAGTGCACTGTCCTCGCAGTTCGGCCTCTTTCTGTCTCAGCAACCGACTACTACTGTTAGTGCACTCGCTTTGCACTGCTCCTGCCACTGCTTCAGCAGCAGCCGAATCAGCAACTACTCCTCTGTACGGCGGTGTCTGGTCCGAGTGGAACCATAGCCGCCGCCGCTGCTTCACAACACCACAGTCGGTACACAACACAGTAGCAGACTGTGTCAACTAATTGGCCTCTGCAAGTCTTGTCACATCTCGGCAATTGTCTGTGCGTGTGCACTAACTGCTGCCGTTTGTGAGTACTGCCACTGTCGATAGAACACACACACAGCCACTGCTGGCAACTGCACCAGCGACATTGGATCTGTCAAGATGGTACAGTAGTGGATTGCCGCCGCCGCTGCTGCCCTTTTCTCGCAGTGTGTCAGCAGTCTTCTATCTTCCCCTGCGCTCTTCTAGTCCTCCACTTTGTCTCTTCCGCCGAAACGACGGCAGCGGCAGCAGCAGCAGCACAACCATCTCCGAGAGCACTCCATCGCGCCCACCAGCAGCACTAGCATCAGCGGCATCATCATCATCATCATCGTGTGTTCACTTGGAAGGGCGATTGTTTATTACCGCAGCAGCAGCAGCCTGCATGGCTTTTCTGCCGCCTGCCTCCAATGTCTGCCAGTGTGTATGTGTGTGTTTGCCTGCTGTTTCCTTCTTCGCCAGCATCAGCATCAGTTGTAGCGTTCAGTGTTCTTCGTATGCAGTGCAATGTGCCACCACCGAGGCTCACTACTAACTCTCCAACTCCGTAAATGCCACTTGGTTATCCTCGCCAACTCTCACTGCACGGCATTGTACACTCGCCGAAGCTGCACACAACCACACACACACAACACAGAGAGAGACCGACACACTTCGACACACCAACAGCAGCCGTTCAATCGCTCGAGCAGGGCTGTTTTTTCCTTGATTTGATCGCCTGATGACTGCACGAGGAGCTGGAGCTTCCCTCTCTTTGCCTGGCTCACTCGTTGCCGATGTTCACTGCCACCAACAACAACAGCAGCATCAGCAGCAGCAGTTGTACAGAAGCCGTAGCAGCAGCGACATCAGCAATTACTGGTAGGGCACTTGAAAGAAGAACTACCGGTGAAGTAGACGGCGAAGAAGCCATCGAGTGCACTCTGATCGATCGAATCGATGCGACCGCACACTGTCCAATTTGGTGTGCACAGCAGCAGCAGCCACAACAGCGGTACCTTCTTCTTCTTCTTCATCATCTTGTACAGTAGTTGTCGGTAGAGTGTGTCTGTGTGTGTTTGCCAGCGTCTGTCACCATCGCCGCTCACTGTCACTACCTCTCTGGTCTCTCTCTCCTTCTTTCACTTTCACTGTTGGCCGACTGTGGCTGCAGACGTTGTGTCTGTGTGTGCAGTGGTGTGCCTGTGTCGTCCGGTGCCATGCTCGGTCGATCTTATCTCGTTTTGCAGTTCTGCATGACTGATCCACTACTGCTTGATCCACTTCCACTTCATTCACTTCCACCTTCAATAATCAGTCTGCGGTGGGGTCTTTAATTTAGAATCACATTCACACTCCTCGATCACTCCCTCATTCAATTCATTTCACGCTGACTGTTTGGCAGCAGGCACCAGTCAGTGCACTGGCCGCGGCGGCACTCGACAGCACCACTTGATACTTTCGTGTCTTTCAATGTCATCCCATCAACTTGTCAACTCTGCCACCGAATCGCAGTCTGACATTATCGGTATTTGCTGTGACGTTTATTTTGCCTAATTTTAGAATGATGACGATGATGGTAGATGAAAAATGCCAAACACCTTTTTTCCAATCAAATCATTTTGGCTACTGCCGTTGACCACTTTTATTAATATTTTTTTTTCATTTCCGTTTCTATTTTTCCGTTTTTTCTACAGAGAAAATTAAAATCAAGTACAACGACATCAATGGGTCAACGTTGCTGGTGGACCTGCATAAGGGCCTGACTGGCCTGGGCATCAGCCTCGCCGGTAATCGCGACCGAACGAAGATGAGCGTCTTCATCTGCGGCATGCACCCCAAGGGCAGTGCCTACAAGGATGGTCGACTGAAGATTGGCGATGAAATACTGGAGGTAGGTGTACGCTGTGTACAGTAAATGAACACACAGNGTTTTTTCTACAGAGAAAATTAAAATCAAGTACAACGACATCAATGGGTCAACGTTGCTGGTGGACCTGCATAAGGGCCTGACTGGCCTGGGCATCAGCCTCGCCGGTAATCGCGACCGAACGAAGATGAGCGTCTTCATATGCGGCATGCACCCCAAGGGCAGTGCTTACAAGGATGGTCGACTGAAGATTGGCGATGAAATACTGGAGGTAGGTGTACGCTGTGTACAGTAAATGAACACACAGAAATACCTCACACCACAAACACACCTACAGTTTATACATAGCTTCACATTCGCAGCTGCTGATGATGCTGCTCTAGTACTGAACCGATAAAGCGACAATGCGAGACAGTTAGATAGCTGCAGACAGGCAGGTAGAGAGCAAGCAAGCACTGATGACTTGCATGGTCGGCTTAGGTTGCCTTGTCTTCAGCGGCAGCAGTCCTTCAGCTACCGTCACTCCAGCACACTGTTCACAGCACACTCTCAAAAGTCGAATCGACTGCACGCAATCACTTGAAGAGGAAAGCTGCTGCAGACAGACACAGACTGAACGGGAGAGAGAAAGACAATTGCCCCAATGAACAGCAAGCACAGCACAATTTCGGGCGCGCGCCTTTGCTGAGCCTCTGCTGCTGGTGCTGCTGCTGCTGATGATGATGATGGTGCTCGCACCCGTCAATCAGTGTCGCCGCTAATTACCGACGCCGAATAGAGCTGACTGACTGATCGATACACACATACACACACAGAAACAGAGAAGAACCAGAACTGCCGCTGCAGTAATCCGCGAATCTATCCACTCACCACCACTCATTTTCCTTCTCTTCACTTGTTTCTGCAGGTAAACGGCATTGTCCTACATGGTCGCTGTCATTTGAACGCTTCGGCAATCATCAAAGGCCTCGCCTGTCTCTCCTACCGAATCGTCGTTTTGAGGTGAGTGCTTTACCCTGTCATTTCGCTGTTGTTTGACATACGCACACACGCATTTATCTTTTCTTCACTAAAACCACCACTTTTTTCTTGCTGTTCCTCCTCCCTCCTTTCATTACTTTTCTCACGCTCAAAACACGCACACAGAAGAGATGGTGCCTTAGACGAGATGGCTGTTAAACCGCTCACACAGTTTCCCGTCCACTTGGAGGATTTTCTCGAGGAGAAGTACTGCAAGTACAAAGGTGTTCGCACCATCACAGTCAGAAAAGTAATTTCATCCTGCTAATTGAATTAAATTTCAATGCACCACAATGGAGCCATTAACTTCCTCTAACTAACTGCCTTATAACCTTTACTACCAGGGATCTCAAGGTCTAGGCATCATGATCATCGAGGGCAAACATTCCGAGCTGGGTCGGGGCGTTTTTGTGTCGGACATTCAGGAGGGCAGCGCCGCGGAGAGCGCCGGTCTCAGCGTGGGCGACATGATTCTCTGCGTCAATCAGACTGATCTCATTGGGGCTGACTACGAGACGGTAAGAAGGAGTGGGATGGAGAAGAGAAGGAAGAGAGCTCAGGTTTCTAATTAGCGTCTCACTTTTGTTTTGTTTACCTTGCATCTCTCTCTCTCTCTCGCTTTTTCAGGCGGCCAATTCCCTGAAGTGCGCCGAAGGGCTGCTGACGCTGGTGATCGCCAAGCCAGGCAAGTCAGTGCACTACGAAGCAACCACTCCGACCGCAGTCGACGTTCAGTCCTACCAGCAGCAGCAGCACTGGAACAAGAGCACCGAACAGCAGCAGTCCTCCTTTCTCGACGTCAACAGCAACCCCGAGAGTAAGTGTGTGCACTATGTCTGCTCTGACATCTTATGCTTTCCCACCTCCCAAGCCCACTACCGCCTTGCTGCAGTGCATTGCTTTCTTCCTTCCCCACAACAATCACATCCTCTCACTTTCACTAAAGATGTGCACATTTTGTTTTGCTTTTTCCCATTGCCTCCTTCAGAGTTCACCACCAGCATTACCTCCCACCACTTTTCACATCCTCCCACCAGCACCACCACCACCTATGAGCCTGCCACGCACCTGAACGCACTGAGTAGGTCTGCTAAGCCTGGTCAGTACCATCAGCAGCAGCACCAGTACCACCTGCTTGACTCCTCTTCCGCTGATCCTGCTTGCAACAACAACAACAACAACAACATTGCTTCTATCACCAACAACAGCGGACGAGTGAATGGTCAGTTGAGTAGTGGTAGTGAGCTTACTGAGTGCTAACCAAACCACCCCATATCGCCAACAGCTACCAACAGGAGCTCAATCTCTGTGACCGAGATCGGCCAAGGTCATGGTCAGCCTTACCACCCGCACCTGCACAACAACCCTGCACAGCAATCGCATGCACTCCCACCCTCCTCCTCTTCCTCTTCCTCCTTTGTGCCGCCGCCTCTCTTTTGCGTGCCGAGTGCTATCGTGTCGGCGGAGGCAGTGCCCAGCAGCAACGCCTCAGCCGTCTCCATCTCCACCTCCTCTAATCTGTTGCCTAACACCTATCCACCACCACTATTGAAGGCGTTCCCGGCAGAGAGCGGCGGCGGCAACAGCTACAGTACTCACAGGCAGCACAGCATCACCACTAACTCCAATGTTCTCCTTTCGTCAGCGAATGCGCCAGCACAGCAACACAGCTCCAGCACCCAAGGCACTGCCTCCTCAACGACCACCCTTCTCAACGCCGACAAAACGGCCGTGGTTTTGGGCGGTTTACAACAACCCAACACCGGTGAATGCGACTTTAAGACCTGTCTCGTGAAGATGGGCGAGGTGACCACCATTGAGATTGTTCGTGAAAAGCTCGGTCTTGGCCTGAGCATCGTCGGCGGCATCGACACGCCACTGGTAAGTGCTTTTGCTGTTGTCAGCAGCTTCTATTAGAGTGACTCAATCATCACCTTTCTTCAATTGTAAACACACTTTCATCACCACCACCATCACCACTTTTATTATTGCAGAGTGCAGTCATCATTCACGAGGTGTATCGCGGCGGCGCCGTTGACATTGACGGCCGCCTCAAGCCGGGCGACCAGATTCTCGAGGTGAACGGCGAAGACCTGCGACACGCACCGCACGAACAAGCAATCAAAGCGTTGCGTCAGACGCCACCGGTCATCAAAATGAAGGTGTACCGAGAGCGGGGCGATGTTAATCTCAACGACAACTACGAGGTTTTTGACGTGAAGCTGACAAAGAAGCAAGGCAAAGGACTGGGACTGAGCATCGTCGGAAAGAAGGACGGCACTGGCATTTACATCTCTGAGATTGTCAAGGGCGGCATTGCCGACATGGACGGCAATCTCACCATTGGCGACCAGATACTGCAGGTCAACGGACGAGACCTGACGCACATTGCACAGGAGGAAGCGGCCCTTATTCTCAAGGTAACTGGTTTATTTGAAATATGAGCATCAGTTTCACCATTCTCTTTTTCTCTAGACTGCCAAAGGCGTAATAAATCTAAAGATTGAGCGGTTCAAATACGGATGCCAAATGAACTCGACCAATGCCAAGGGCGAAGAGCTTTCTGTGGACGAGTAAGTTGTAGACGATGCTCCCCTTTTTTAAACCTAATCTTTCTATCTGTCTCTAACAACAAATTTTACTATTCTTTAACCCACTTTTTAATGCTAACCCAAAAGGAGAAGGTGTCGCTGAGGTACTGACCTTCTTTGGCTTTTTTTGTTCGCTAACTTGTAGAACTACTTTATTCAATCTTTAAACTATGCG